GCATCATTCGAAAAGTAGTAGTATCTTCATATTTTAAATGAAACACCCAGTATATTATTACATTTTTGGAAACTACTTTCATTTCTCATAACTTTTTTATTACTACTATCTGGGGGCACGGCAGTAGAGATAGTAGCAAAAAACGTGTCGATATCGCGTCTTTTAAACATAGAAAATTATAATGTCAGTGAAAGATATGATACAGACATTCTAGACACTGTTTTCGCTTTTTTGTCATCATTAATATAAGAATTATTACTCTAATTACAAAATTATTGATTATTCTCTTTTATCCTCAGTTAAAAATAAAGATTTATGTTTTATAATGTAAAATACCTAGTTTGTTTTAATATTATTAGGTAAAATAGGAAATATTTTACGTTTTTATGCAGCATTATGTTTTTTTTTCATTTTATCTATTAATTCTTTTTTAAAAATTTTTAATACACCTCACCTCGGCAACATAAAGTCGAAAATATAGTTTATGTTTCGATCCTTAGCAGTTACGTATCATTTTCGACGTTATATTGGTTTTAATGATTTTTTTTCATGACAAACACGGATAATAGAATGATAACCTGTATCAAAAAACAAAGCGTAGATGAGTATGCTTCTACAGATTTTTACATTTTTACATTTTTACATTTTACTTCTAGAGATTTTTACAAATTGTAAGTTTGGCGTTCGTTGAAGGACTATTAGAGCTACAATTTAAAAATATTTTTACAAGATACAGAGTGTCCCAAATAAATAAAAAAATATCAAAGTTGTATTTTTTTTAAATGGAACACCCTGTATATTATTACATTTTTAGTTTCTACGATTAAAATAAAGGTAAATTTGATTATGGTTTATTATACTTAAACCTTACCGTTTTTGATATATTTTCAATTTTGTGAAATTGCAGTAAAAATTTTAAAGCTTCATTTCTCCAAGGGTATTGTAATCGGGAGATTAATATATTTAACAGAAATTGATATTTTAAAATATAATTCTAACTAGCTTGACCAACAATGTCTTCTCTGGGCCGAAATCAACAACCTCTGCCATTCGACTGTTTCCAAAGCCTACTACTCCGCTACTCGCAAACATCAGCGGACACGGGGTGCAGGCACGGCGTGAAAATGACTGCCTATCATAAAAATCATAGGCGTCGATAACATTCGGCCATTCCTGACTTTTGCGTGTCCTCACTCCTCTGAATCACACTAAAAGGACATAAATAATCAGTACCTTTTAAATGGCATTTTTAAATGCTGAAATAAAAGTATTTATTAGTTTTTTTGCTGCTGAGCCATATCTTTATCAGCTAATTGCTACCATTGTTACATCACACTAAAAGGACAAAAATAATCAGAATCATTTAAAGGACATTTTTAAATGCTGAAATAAAAATATATTATGTTAGATTGTTTGCTGCTGATACTAGACAATTGATACAAAACCAATTGACAAAACCTTATCAGCTAATTGTTACCATTATTACAACACACTAAAAGGAGAAACATAATCAGAATCATTTAAAGGACATTTTTAAAAGCTGAAATAAAAATATAGTTAGATTGTTCACTGCTCATACTGGAGCTACGTCTTATTTGCTACTTAAATAAATAAAAATAAAATATCGTAACTCACTTAGAAACAATACTCAAAAACTCATGATGGACAAATAAATTATTCAGGGATAAAATTTCAAGGTAAAATAAACAAATTATTTATTATATATTGGTGTTACACGCAATCTGCAGCTTGCGTGCAACAAAATAATGTTAAATCTCAACTCTAAAATCTTAAATCTAAAATCTAAATCTAAAATGTAAATTGTAAAATCTAAATCTAACTATGGGCCCACGCCTATTCCAGCCACTGGAAAAGAGAGCAATCCGGGTCGAACTAACCAGACCGAATACCGGGACTCATCCCTATTCGCAAGTCTTGTCCGCCCTACTCACAAAGCGCCCAGGTGGTAAACTCATACCTTAGCAACCACCACACGCCTTTTCCAGCTATCATACTAACGTATACCTTGAAAAAGAGAGTACCGGGTAAAACTAACCCTACTCCTTTTTTCCAATCCTAATCCACGTTTGAATCTACCATAACCAAATCCATAGCTTGCCAAACCTAGCTATTCCACAGTACTTTTGTTCTTTGACCGTGCATACCATCCTACGATGTTTCTAACTTCATATCAACCAATCCTCAGCTGCTTAGAAATTCAAATGAATCTGTCTACCTTGGAGATTGATTGGATCCTATTAGCTGTGTCGAAGTGATCCTTAGCAGATCTAACGCTGAATATAGTTCGCTACGCATCCAATTTTTCTTTTATTCTGCTTGATATTTCGCATAATTCGCTACTAATTTACGCCGAAACTCGCTAACGTCGATCATTTACGCCCGGAGGGATAAACGCAACTTGTCCAGATACGCTCATTTTGCTCCTAGTGCTTAGATTCCACACAATCCAAACTGAATGTTTGAAACATTTTCAACCTAGATATCGTAATGCAACTTGTTACACATACTAGAGATTATGCCTCTCTACTTGTCCCATTCCACGTGGATGTCAAACAGTATTCAGGTAGTGAGATATGGCTTGTTTATATTGAGAATATTCGTTTTTTTAGGTAAAAGGGTATCCCTAAATGATTACTTTATTCGGGGTTGTAAAACTCATATATTCACGCATAAAGATTTAAGTACATACCTAGGTAGCTTAGTTTATGTATTTTGAATTAAAATAATATTACCGCTTTATTTATTTTTGTTTACGCATAATATGAAAAGTGTATGCATTTTATATAAGATTAAGATAATCGGATTTGCTAGTTGTATTATACATTTTTGTTAACTATATACGTATACATAATTTTTACCGAAACAATATGTTATTTCCGAGAATATTTATTTTATGTCGTTCTTTAGTAGTTTGTTTTCAAGATATCTACAGCGTGTTGTGAAAATTACTATATAATAGTACTCTGGCGCCTAGACTTTTACCCATCTGGACATGTACTTTTATTTCTAATTAAAAGAAATTACACTTTTATTAAAAAGTAGCCCTGTATACCTACTTTAATAAACGCATCGTTCTCATCTTCTAACAATTTTACACAACTTAAAATAGTTGTAATAATAAATAATAAATAATTATTTAAAATAAATTTTTAGACACTCTGTATAAGGTAGCATTATTTTTATTATTGCAACACAATAACTGATCAGTAAATAAACTTCAGTAAATATTTAGTATTAAAAACTTTGATACCCTTGGAGAAATGAAGCCTTAAAATTTTTACTGCAATTTCACAAAATTGAAAATATTTCAAAACCGGTAAGGTTTAAGTATAATAAACCTTAATCAAATTTACTTTTATTTTAATCGTAGAAACTAAAAATGTAATAATGTACAGGGTGTTCCGTTTAAAAAATACAACTTTGATATTTTTTACTTATTTGGGACACTCTGTATCTTGTAAAAATATTTTTAAATTGTAGCTCTAATAGTCCTTCAACGAACCCCAAACTTACAATTTGTAAAAATCTCATCGTTTAACTACAATACTCCGTGTCGTATGTGGTGAACAACCCTGTATATCAATGAAGTATTCATGGGACTATACAATAGAGCTATAAACATATAACTCAAATATTCTTTTTTTGCAGGGAAAACAGGTATTATAATTAAAGGCAGATGCTCATTGAATATTGAGCAAGGTGCGACGAATGCCATTTGTTTTACAAAACACAAAAAAAATTATCGCCATGATCAAATACCCCCCCCCCCCCCACGATTGTGTTCATGATTGTGTTTTAATCATGAACACAATCGTGGAATAAAAGAAAAGCTGTTATCACGGAGTTTGGGTTACCGAAAAAAGTGAAATTCAAGTAAATGTGATTTTAGGAAACATTGGATGAAGGTGCCAGTTTAAGAAATTTGATTAATTGTATTGATAATGTGGATATTTTATTTATCTTGTGTATAAAATTTTTGTTATCAAAAATATAGATGAAATATCTATTTATGAAATTTAATAATATAATATTTATGTAAATAAATCTGAAGTTTAGCCACTTATACACTTTATTTTTTTGTCTACTCGATATACGTAGATTTAAAAATATTATTGGTTTATTTTTAGACATACAAAAAATTGTTTACTGCATTTTATTAACTCTAATAACTTGTTGACATGTTATTTTCTTCTTTGGCCAAATTTATTCATGAAATTCAATCTGATTTAATTTCTTTTTTTACAAATTCGCTGTCGTTTTTTTATTTTGTTATAAAACAAAGTTCTATACCGGATGCGTCTCAAAAGTGGCTCACCCCTATAACTTTTTTATATTTTCCAGATAAAAAAACGAGATTTGGTATGTTACTATACGACATAAATTAGGATTGATTGACGTATTCAATTCTTTCCGGTCACTTCCTGTTTCACCGGAAATAACTACAACTTTTGATTTTTAAACGGTACCCCTCTGTATTTTTTTTTACTTTATTTAATAGAAAATGGTATTCTGAACAGAATGATATATCATATGTCAACTTTTGATATTTCATTTGTCCACCAATCTAGAGTGTCATTTTTTTTCAGTTTCAGTGTCTTGTCCTGGCAGGTTTAAAGCAACCCAAATCGTATTTTTAATCATATATCTCAATTTTTTCAACTGGAACGGGGGTGGCTCATTATCATATTTGGAAGAAGCATTTTTATACGAATAATTTGGTACTACACACTTGACATTTCTAGTCATTCTCTAGTAAAATTGTCGTTTTGAAAACAACGTTTTCATGTTGCAATTTCAAATAAATCATATTCAAAAATGTCAAAAGTTGACATATGATACGTCATTCTATTCAGAGTGTCATTTTCTATCGAATAAAGTAACAAAATACCGAGGGTGCCACTTAAAAATCAAAAGTTGTAGTCATTTCCGGTGAAACAGCAAATGACCGAAAACGATTGAATACGCCAATCAATCCCAATTTATGTCATATACTAACATATCAAATTTCGTTTTTTTATCTAAAAAAATTAAAAAGTTATAGGGGATGAACCACTTTTGAGAAGCACCCGGTATATAACTGGTTTTACACGAAGATACTTATAGACGCTTAATATCAACATATTTATAATAAACTTACAATAGTACCGCTATAACCATAAAACAATATTATTAGTGCTAAAATACGATTAAGCGCTAAAATAACAAAAATAAAAATTATTCTATATGCAATTCAAGACATTTTGCTAATTCTGTCGAAAATTCGCATCCATCTTCTGTATCAGTGGTTATTAATCTAGCAAAGCATCTTCTTGCGTCTCTTAATGCTTTGATTCTGTTTATGTCACTGCCTGAAATATGATCCTGAAGCCATTTTATAACCATCGATTCCGATGGTGTTCTGTCCTCATCTAACTAAAATTTGTGAAAATTTATTTATTTTGTTGAAGTAGATATCATTATTTGTCAAACTCACCAACTGCAAGTACCCAAATATGCATTGACTAACACACTAAAAAAATAGGATTATAATAAAAATCTTTTATTTGTTAATTATTCTACCTCATCATCGTCATCATCATCATCTTTTTTGTCATCAGAATCAGAATGGTTATATCTCTTCAAGCGATGCATATTATACATGTTATATGGATTTCGGTTGGCGTCGTCATTATTGTTTCCTATAAACGAAATAAAAATCGTTCCTTAAAGAGATAATTGAAAGGATTATTATTTTAACTAATTCAGAGTGCCGGCAAACATTTTAATAAACTATACAGGGCGAGTCTTAAATAAGTGCAAATATATCCAGATCTCTATAAAACAAAAACGGAAAACTAATATGATTGCTCATCCTCATAAGACGTACGTTCGCCTCTTCCCGCGCTTCAGCTGACAGTTGTGACGTCATTGTAGTCATTGTCATGATAGTGTGTATTATTGGTTGCCTATGATAAACTTATAAAAATAACAGCTGAGAAATTTTGAGTTACCTAATTATTTTGTCAATTTTAAATGTAAAAAAAGTGTTTTAAAGTTTTTAGAGTTATAGAGTGTATAAATACGTTCATTTTGTGTTGTGGATTGTGACTAAGTACTTACTAAGTGCATACGATTATTGTTTATTAATTATTTTAAAGCTAAATATGGAAGTACTCTAAAAAGAATGCAGTTAATTTTCTATACTGGATACATATAAAGTGTTTAAATAAATAAACTAAATAATAAACGTTTTGCATCCGGCAACCAATAATACACACACTGTCATGACAAGGACTACAATGACGCAACAAAGCGAGGAGCTTTCGCATGCACCTGGCAGACACTTTCGGCTGAATGAGCAGTCCTATTAGGATAACTGTTCTTGTCTATAAAAGAAACATATCGTTGGTGAAATGTGTTAACCTGCTAAACATACACACACCGGAAAAATCTAGGGATATCATTTTATTAAAGTTAAAAATAAATGTTTTGAATAAACAACCACATATTTGTAGGCCGATTCTTTCTACTTCGATTGAAACGAAGTAGTCACACTAGTTATTTCTAAATTTGGGATATTTGCAGAAGTGTTTGTGCATTTTTTGTCAAATGTATTAAAAGCACCTAGCATCAATTGTTCGAATTTAACCTGTACTGGCTATGTTTTTATGATAACTGGCCAGAATTCATTCAAATAATTCTGTTTAGTATTAAACGACATTATGGAGCGTAGACATCTTAACAGAGACGAAATGCTAAGGGCCATGGGTATGCTCGAAGCTGGAATGCGCCAAATCGACGTAGCTAGAGCATTAAATACAACACAAAGTGTAATATCGCGATTAAAGGCTGATTCATGGTACACCGTGACGGGCCGGGGCCGTGCGACGGTGAAGGCACGGCCAAACATTGTCAAATGGTATTTATACCTATGCATTCATGCTAAGCCGAGCACGGGCCGAGCTTCGCCGGAACCCGTCCGTGCCCCGTCCGAGAAATGTCGGTGTACATTTTTCCTCGGATCCGCTACGGTCCGGCCCCGTTGCGGCAAACATAAATGAGTCGCCCGGGCTAAATACTTCGTTCGCCTACGGGCCTATAGCGACTGTTTTCTAGCAGTGTTGCCGCACCCAACTTTTAGCGCGTACTACATTATAAACTAAAAATGTACCACTTTGGTACAATTTTTTAAAGCACAACAAAATACATCTGCAAATGACTTTAACCGGTTTGGTCGCTGTGAATTTCTACATAAAAAAACTTCCTGGAGAAAGACACAAATCGAGACGAAAAACATGAAATAGAAATTCAGAAAACCCAATTATAAGTATGTATAGGTTGAAGAAATCTAAGTAATTCTAATACTACACACAATACTTGGAAAACTTAAATTTTATTAAAAAAAAAAACGCAAATATAGAAGCATGTCAGAAACAGTAAATTTTCAAGTTTTTTCTTCGGGTTATTTAATATAGGCAACGCTATGGACATTACAACGTTTATAATACGTCGTTAATTAATGCCGATTTTCTCCGAATGGTATCGGTAAGCGCGTTTAATGCAATATCAACGACAATAATTATTAAATATCTATTCATTTTCGGTGCGCGTGGAAAATAATTATTGTACCAAATCATCCTGGATTTGAAAATGTAGTACCACTGTACCAAATAGAATTAAAAGTATCAAATTTGGTACAAATGTACCACTGCGGCAACACTGTTTTCTAGAATATAATCGGCACGGACACGATCCCCGTTGTCCACTCGGTGCAACATATATTGAAGGCCCGGACGTGGCCCGGTGTCTACTGCACGGAACGTGCCCGGCTCGGGTACGGCCCGGTGTACCATGAATCAGCCTTAAGTGCACGATACCGTAAAAGTGGTGATGTTGCTGAAAGGCACACAGGGCGACATCGCATTACTACCCCTCAGCAAGATCATTTTTTACAATTAAATGCTCGACGCCGACCGACTCTTACAGCACCAGAGCTTAGTTTAATTCTCCAGAAAACACATAACGTAACCGTTAGTCCTGACACTGTTCGCAATAGATTAAGATAGGTCAACTTAAGAAGCAGACGCCCCTGGAGAGCTCAACCCTTAACGAGAGGAAATCGAGAGGTACGATATTTGTGGGCTCAAGATCATGTTCAGTGGTCGAATGAACAATGGGCCAATGTTCTCTTCACGGATGAGTCACGCTTGAATTCATCCGGATTCAAGAAGGCTTAGGGTGTGGAGAGAACCGGGAAATCTTATTCGGTTGGATCATGTTCAGGAAGTGCACCCTTATCAAGGTGGAACAGTTATGGTCTGGGGAGGAGTCCAGTTAGTCCGAAAACCCGATCTCGTTTTTCTTGAAAGGTTTCTAACAGGAATCATATATCGTGATTTAATTCTTGAACCTGTCGTGTTACCATATGCCAATGATTTTGGGAGAAACTTCATTCTCATGCATGACAATGCACGGCCTCATACAGCCAGAGTGGTAAGTGAGTTTATCAATGCTCATCAATTAAACATCTTACCCTGGCCGGCACAATCTCCTGACTTCAACCCCATCGAGCACGTATGGGACGCGGTCCAAAGAAGAATTTTGAGAATGGGTATGCCTCGTGAAACTCGTAGGGATCTGGTTCGGGCCGTGAATGCAGCGTGGCAGGCTGTACCTCAAGAAGAGATGGACAACCTGATCAGGAGCATGGAGAGACGATGTAGGGCTGTAACGAACAGTAGAGGAGGCCATACCCTTTATTAAGTAAAAATGGTTTTATCTTTTTTTTTAATTCACAGTTTAGAATAAAAAAAATGTGTGTATTTTTTTGAGTTCAATAAAAATCAAGGTAAATTTGAAAAATTCGGTAAATTTCGCATTTTTATTTCCAGTACGTCCTGTAAACTATTTGTTTATTTTAATTTTATTATGTCAGAAATGCAAATAATAAAATTACTGACTATGGCTGGATAAAATTGTAATATCCCTAGACTTTTCCGGTGTGTGGATAGTCTCTTTGTCGTTTTTCAAGTAATTCCAAAATAACCGAGTTGTTTTATTTTGAAATTATCAAAAAAAAATATTTTGCTAAATATATAAAAAATATTTTGCTTAAATTTTGAAAAGCACTGGATAACATAGTAAATGTATATTTTTTTACTGAGTAATTTTGTACAGGTACCAGTTAAAAATATGTAGGTGGCGCCTTCTACAAGTAGGAGCCATGTTGATATAAAAATCAAATTTCTTATAACAAAAAACTGCCAAACAATAATTTTCATCCAAATATTGACGTTACTTCAAAAATTATTTGAAAAAAGAAATTAAAATAAAAATAAAACTTCTATACCTTGTATCTCCGATACAAAACATTTTAGGACATAATTTTATAGGAATTTTTTACTTATTTTTACCTGCAGAATATGCTGCCAAAGTTTCCGGAATACAGTTCGGACCTCCCTGTATATTAGAAATCAATTAAATGATATACCTAACGACTCGACTGTATGAATGATTTATAGATTGATTTAAATTAAAATTACTTTAACCACAATAAACATTCCAAAGTAATTACCATTATAATTATTATTTCTTCCATAATTCCTATCGTTGTTGTTTGGACCACATTGTGACGTTCTCTGATTATTATTGGAACCGGAAGAGTATCCATTGTATCCATTGTAAGGATTATTATTTTGACTCTCTTCATAGTTGAAAGAGTTTCCTTGTGGAGCATATGGATTACCAGCGCCATAATTATTTCTCCGAGAGTTGTAATTTGAGGAATCAGGATATCCTCCGTAGTTCTGATTGGATGATCCATATGGAGTTGTCATACCAGGGTAATTGAAATTTTGACGTTGATTGAAACGTTCTCCTTGCTTGTATCGGTTGGTATTTTGAGACCCTTGATTATATTGGGAATTCCAATTCTGACTTCTGCTAAAACATACATTTATTGAGAGTTTTAACACATCAAAATATACAGTCTTAAAATTCATAAAAAACAGTTCGTGTTATAATTTTCCAAATTTTCAAACCGTTTTTAGGGCTGTCTCCAGTAAGTGTGATTTCAGAGCTTTGCGAAATGCGAGAAAGAATGAAAGCGACTTGATATTCAAAGGCAGATGATTGTACATTTTTTTGGCATTTGAGCCTAGCTCGGGGTTGGCAGATCAAGATCGAGCTCCGCATTCCTAAGTGGATGATTGCGAGACGGCCTTTCGGGAATAGCAGATATGTGCTTGCGGATTAAGCAAACGGATTCAAAAATGAATAAAGAAGGAAGAGTCAGTATTTTGAAATTTTTAAAGAAATTCTGGAAGTGAGTTCTACTGTTCAGTCCCAATAAATATCGATCTGCTCTATTTTGAAGATTGAAAATACGATCGAATTTTGTTGCGCAGCAAGTACGCCAGAATGGAAGGGCATAACGAACATGTGACTCAAAAAGGGCATAATAGGCTATTCTAGAGGTTGATAAGTCAAGTTCCTTAGAATCTGATCTTAGCGCAAAACAGGCAGCACTTAGTTTCTTTGATTAAGCTTCGATGTGCAAGTCCCATTTTAACGAGTTGTCTATAATAAGTCCTAAGAATTTCACAGAGTCCACGACGTCAATAGTGGTGTTATTAAGTACAAAAGGTACACTGGATATAGTATTGTTACGTTTTTCGTCGGTTCCGTGTGGATAGAAAGTCTCAATTCATTTAAACACTATTTATTTAACACTAATTAACAAAACTAATAACGATAAACGACTTATAGAACTATTTACAAACGATTTATAACTAAGAATTTATTTTGAATTTTAGCGCGTCAACTGTATATTTATAACTGCCCCCTGTAGGCCACGGCCGCCGGCTTTTATACCGGCAGGTAAAGAACTCTAGAATTGTCCATAGATCGTTAGGGGCGTAGAGAAGGTTTTCGAATGTTCTCGTATGTACTCGTCCATTCCAGTGGGACTCGATTCTTCTCGAACGAATGAATCATTGCGGTGTCTATGCGATGTTAAGGTCATCCGAGGGCGGGCCATATTGTGAGGTTAGGTCGAGTCCACACCGGCCCGCAACAGTATTATATAGTGCCTAACATCTGGGCCGCTCCAAGTGAAACTAGCATCGTCCGCAAAGAAGCAGATTTTACCGCTAATGTCTCTAGATTTGCAATATCGTTGATAAACACCAGAAAAAAATAGGGTACCGTACTGATCCCTGAGGGGCACCACATTCTATAGGCTTACAAGAAGACATAGAGGTATCATTCCTCACAAGCTGCCTTCTGTTGCCAAGATATGACTTAAGCCATTCGAGCGGCACTCCAATGAAACCATAGTATTGCAATATGCTACATAAGATATTATGATTTACACAGTCAAAAGCCGTAGAGAAATCACAGAAAATTGTAGCTGTAGAAGATGGTTATTCAGGCTAGAGTATACATTATTAAAAAGGTCGAACATAGCATCGTTTGTGCAACTGTTACTTAGAAAACCAAATTGATGGGTAGTAAGTATTTTATACTCAAGGAGAAAAGATAGAAACCTTTTTTTAACCAATTTTTCAATGATCTTAGATAATGTGGGCAGGAGAGCCATTGGGCGATAGTTCGAAGCTTGATCTTTATCTCCTCCTTTATGCAGAGGAATAATTATTGCTGTCTTAAGGCAGTTTGTAAAAACTCCTTTTTGGAATGACTCGTTAATTAAAGTAGCAATTGTTAAAATTTCAATCGATTTTGAAAATATGGGCCTTCAGTAAACTCTTGCATGTTATTGCACCCAGCTCTTGGACTATTAGTTGAATGCTACGCCAAGGATGAAGCTAGTTATTGAAAGGGGTGATACTGACAGGGAGCCGAAAATATGGCATAACTCAAAATAAATAATAACCATCTATCAAGAAATAAAAACGAAATGGTATTGTTACATAATAAAAAAAATATAACTTATACTAACTAGTGAACACTAGAAAGTTAAATAAATAAACAGTTGCAATTTTTTTTATAAAAAATGCATTTCTCTCAAAATGTTAATAATAAAAAAGTACTTCCTTTTATAAAGAGAATCCGGAGACATACTGTATTTAAAACGTTTTTTTTTTTCATGAATAAATACTGAAAATATATGATACTAGCGCGTACCCGCGACTTCGTTCGCGTCGATTTAATCATTTGTAATGGTGATGATAAAGCAAAGCAAGAATTTCCATTAACATACAAACAGGATAAAAATTTTCTCACCCTTATGTCAGCATGAGAAAAAACACAATATGGTGATATTATTATATAACTTTCTTCTGTAGTTTCATCTCGTTGGAATTTGAATTTCGAAAAATCCGCTTGCCAAAAATAAGCTTTTTACGTCAAGCAGTTTAAGCAGAATCGTGGTTAATCAATTACCCAACTTTTTGGAACACCCTGTATGATTTTTTAAAAAATTTCAAAATATGTAAAAAAACAAAATAAATTTATGCGTGTCCAAGCGTTTTCCCGAAAGACTGACCGTTTTTTAAATAACAAATATTGTAATATTTGAGGGGCGTTTTCACCCTCTTGGAATTTGAGATTCGAGAAACCCTTCCTTATCGAACCTCTACACCCCACTGTCAATCCGTTTGCCAAAAATCAGCTTTAAACGTCAAGCAGTTTAAGCAGAATCGTGATTAATCAATGGTCATATTTTATGAAACACCCTGTATAAATTTTTAAAAAATCTTAAAATATGTAAAACAACAAAATAAAATATACGTGTTTAAGAGTTTTTCCGAAAAACTCACCGGTTTGTAAATAAAAAATATTCTAATATTTGAGGGGTGGTTTCACCCCCTAAGAATTCGAGTTTCGAAGAATCCCTTCTTATCGAACCTCTACATCCTAAAGTCAATCCATTTTCCAAAAATCAGCTTTTTACGTCAAGCGCTTTAAGCAGGATCGTAATTAATCGATGACCAGATTTTTCGAAACACCCTGTATATATTTTTGAAAAATCTTAAAATATGTAAAAAACAAAATAAAATATACGTGTTTAAGCGTTTTTTTTTCGGAAACTTGACCGTTTTTTAAATAAAAATATTGTAATATTTGGGGGGTGGTTTCACCCCCTTGGAACTGGGATTTCGAAAAATCCCTTCTTATCGAACCTCTACACCCTAGAATCAACCTGTATGACAAAATTGAGCTTCTTACGTTGAGTGGTTTGAGCAGGATCGTGATTAATCAGCGAGTCAGTCACTTAAGGAGTTTATACAGGGTGTTTCAAAACAAATGCGAAAAACTTCAGGGGGTGATTCCTTGTTCAAAATAAAGGGTAGTTTGCTTCATAAACGTTGGGTCAAAAGTCAACTATTAGGAAGATATCGCGGTACAAAGATGGCGGAAAAATAATGTTTTCATTTTTTATCTTGAAAACGAAAAGAGATAGACTAATGAAATTTTATGGAAGCATTACTGTTATGAAAACACACTTTCTGGTAATTTTCTCTTATCAAACACATGCAAAAATTAATTTGGATAGTTTAGTTTGTTTAGAAACTTTTTTATCTCTTGTGTTTTTTTGATAAAACTCACCGATTTGAAATTATAAAATAAAATGTAAAGCATTACCCCATCAGGACAAAAAACATTTTTAATTTTTTAATATGTACTTTTTTTTATTATTTTGTACTTTCATGAATTAAAATACTTCTTCTTCTTAAAGTGCCTTCTCCATTCAGTGAAGATCGGCAACAACCACGGCAAATTCCTCTCTATTTTTCGCTCTTTTCAGCAAAGTATGTGAGTCCAGGCCTGTCCAATCCCTGATGTTCTTCAGCCAGGAGCATTGCCGGCGTCCGGGTCCGCGTTTTCCCTTAATTTTACCCTCGATGATGAGCTGAAGGAATTCATCTTGCTATGTCTCATGATATGGCCCAAATAGGCTGCTTTCCTCTTTTTTATTATGTCGAGGAGTTCTCGGTCCTTGTTCAGTTGGTTTAGAACTCGTTCATTTGAATTAAAATACAGAATTAAAAATTGTCTTGCTAAATAATTTTTAAGAGGTTATCGTTCAGAAGAAAATGTAACGATATTATTACGAAATAAAACTGTTTGGCAGCAGCCTACTAGATTCTTTATACAAAATGTTTTTTGTCCTGACATGTAATGCTTTACTTTTTATTTTTTAATTTCAAATCGGTGAGTTTTACCAAAAAAACACAAGAGATAAAAAAGTGTCTAAACAAACTAAACTATCCAAATTTTTTTTTTGCATGTATTTATAAGATTTTTCTTTAAATTTCGTTAACAAGAATGATAAGGGTAGTTTATTTCAACCCCTTCCACTTATTTTAAAAAAGTGAAAAAATTACCAGAAAGTGTGTTTTCATAACAGTAATGCTTCCAAAAAATTTCATTAGTCTATCTCTTTTCGTTTTCAAGATAAAAAATAAAAACATTATTTTTCCGCCATCTTGTACCGCGATATCTCCCTAATGGTTGACTTTTGACCCAACGTTTATGAAGCAAACTACCCTTTATTTTGAACAAGGAATCAGCCCCTGAAGTTTTTCGCATTTGTTTTGAAACACCCTGTATATTAGTATAGATTTAGAATTCAAAATTATTAGACGCTTGCTTACCCATATCTGTTAGAATTTCTACTATTCCTGTCATTATTTCTGCTGTCATAAACAGAGCCACCATTACCTTGATTGAAGTTTATATCGTAATTATTTTCGTTCTCAGAGTCGTTTCTTTTACTGCCGCATTGTTTCAAGAACTTTCTAGCCTCGACTCTAAGGATGTTCTCGTCTTCATTCCCGTCGTTTCTCGTAGAGCGATTCTGGGATCGGTAGTTTGTGTTGTTCCTCAATCCGAGTTTTATAGTTTCTTTCTCGTCGCCCAAACAATTCCTCAACAAACTCAAACTCATTAAGAAAATCAGGCAGAGATATAGTTTCGATTTATAAACCATTGTGACTAAGATGTTCTTTAAAAAAACTGACTGATCAAGATCATAATTTTTATTGTAGATAATTTGTAAATAGATTCATATTTATAGTTGCAGCAATTAGTCTGGGCAAATAAATAGATGATACTTTTTTTGTCAAATGAAGAGATTGAAAAGGTCGGGAGCTTATTTTTTCGGTATTGTTTTGTATCCGAAACAAATTGTAACAAGCGCAATTATCATCCTCTGTAACTGATATATCCGTTATGTTTTTTGTTAGTAAAGTACTTAATATTAATTCGTTTAATTGAATTTATATTACGAATTCTGGTATTTCAAAATGCTTTAATATTTAGAATCAGTTTATATTTAAAATTGGGAAAAAAGGGTTGATTGAAAGGCCGTGAATTTTTTTTCAAACGTCACGAAAGTATTAATTTTTGCGACGTGATTGATAATATAAAAAAGTCATTTTAACGCCTAGGCAGAAAAGTACGAATAGTATATTACATACCGAGAAAGAAAGTGTTTCATTATTGTCGAGAGATTAACTAAATCTCGAGACAATAATGAAAACTTTCCTCCGAGGTTTGTACACTATTTTATTTACAACCACATCATTAATTAAAAAATAGGGACCAGTATTTTATTTTGAAAAAAAAAAATACGAAAATTTGTCGTTTTCTGTTTTGGCATTTCCATATCTATAGTTACCGGTTCCAGTGGTTATTATGGCGCAAACCTTCAACAGCAAAACAAACTACAAGAATGTTGTCGGAAAGTTCTGATAATGAAGACTACTTGAATATTGGTACTCCACCAGAACTTACAGAAGCTGCAAAAAGAGCAGAAGCCAGTTTACTTCCAGAGAAGATAAGTCCTTCCACAAGCCATCTACTCTTTGGGCTACGTACAGCACGATAAAGACAATGCTAGAATTAAGGGAAAATTCAAACTCTTTACCTCCTTTCGTTGACATTAGAAGACCTGGTTAGGAGTTAAGTTTTTGCAGCAGTGAATCGTATTCTTTGAATAAGAAGACTAAGGAAGGAGCATATCAAAAATCTTAGGTACACCGCGATGGGCCTCAAATATGGCCGATTTAAATTCCGGTTTATCAGTGTCGTTCTAATTTTATTTAAAAAATGTAAAACTATGATGTAGGGTAGAGGTGGGGTAGACTCAATAATTTGTTGTTTTAATTTACGTTGTGAATAAATATTGGTAGTTATTAAAATTGTTATAAAAATATATAATTCTAATAAAAATAGATAAGTTATAATAAGTATTTATTACCACAAACATCCGATACGCTACTGAAGCAGGTAAGTCAAATTAACATATCTAAATTCTTTGACATCTAATCTTTGACAAGTAATAAATAAAAGCTAAAATGCAAGAAAAATATATAATTTAGTTAATTTAAGTGAATTTCATAAATGATCGGTTTACTACACGTATGTATATTATATAGTCACTTACTAGCGAATAGTTGTTCCATTATTTCACTCAATTTTTGCCGAGATCTACTGCACGCTACACAACCAACTATTTTAGAGTCTTTTTCGATAAATCGCGATAGTGTCACTGTTAATTTAATCTATCTATCTATCTTAATTTCCATCTAGATTTACTACCTTTATAGAACTATCAGTAGTAGAATAAATAATAAATAAGATAAAATAAGCTCTGTAAAGACTAACAAATCCACAAAATTTCAAATCAAATTCAAATGTGTCAAATGAATCGTCAAACAGAACTGTCAAGGATCCCCACCCTAGAGAGCTTTTATGGCGCTTTTTCCGCCCACCATGCATGAATACATGGATAGCATTAAGCTCCTTCCTTAGTCTTCTTATTCAAAGATCGTATTCGATCACATAACCTCACATCAACATCAACCACAACCACAGAAGCTAACTGTCACGCCTGTCAATCGTAATATTTGCGCCTATAAATTAAATCAGGATAATGTTTCTATTTCTGTTAAGATTATACCATATTTCTGTCATATTATACCAGATTATACTCTCCTTTTTTATGATTATCGCCTACTCTAGAGAAAAAAACGAGATAAATAGAAAAAATTAAATTTAAAATTTCTAATGTCATTTTAGAGACGTCCTAAAGATGTTTTATTTCGTCATCTTGTAACGTTTTTAGTTCGTTACATGTCTTTGATTATGATATATGATGTCTGGCGTATCATCACCGGATTCCCTATCGTTCAGGCCAGATAATTTATTTGACGCGCTTGGCGTAATTTTTACGTTCTCTAGTCCACAACCCTGTTATCGTTTTGTGGAGGCGCTGTCAATCTCGCGTCTGTCAACTCTCTCCGTGCTTAACCTCACTTTGTATTGATTTCAACAAATAAATGTATTAAAATCTTCAATTATTATTGTTAATCTTCTTGTTTATTTTTGTTGATGTTAGATAAGTAGGTATTTAATACAGATAAAGTAAAGATTTCAGTTAACGTCTCCTTTTTGCTGCCAGGGCCAATCTGGACGGGGCCTACTTTGTTTACGCGGGATCCGAACCGCGGTCCTCGGCCATATCATGGTCAGTGGCCTACCGACTTAGGAAGTGTCTAAATTAACTCTTACTCAGGAGATATCCGATCTTATCCGGCCTCGAACCAGCGTGAATGAGCAGTGTGTATCAATAGATCACTTCTCCCTTGGACAACAGCACGATACAGAGTTTCGAACCGGTCACCCGTCCATCCACCAGTATCGCCTTACGTCGCTTAACTTCGGATGCTTCGGTTCTAATGGGAACCGTTGTTTCAACGTAGCTAGGCAGTTTCCCTTAATAAAGATTGTGTGAGACAGTGAGAAAAATGAGCGAGGGAAAAAATGTAGATAATTTGACACTTTCAAATTTTTTAAAAGTCAGTAATGTCAGTATATGTAGAGGTATAAATTTATGTAGAGGTGGGGGTAATTTTCATCCTTCCTGTACTTTTTCTTGTTTTTTTTCGTGAAAGTCAAATGTTAAAGCACTTAGCAAAACATAGACACTCAAAATTTCATTCAAATCGGAATAACGGTTAATAAAATATCTGAAAAATGTGTTTATTATTATATTTTTAAAGTTTGGTGCTCTCTACAAACGAAGCACTTTTATATAGAGATAAATTGTGTCCAATGGACTTATTTGGATTCCAAAAATACGTAGTAGTATATTGGAACACCCTGTATTTAAGTCTTTATTTGACTTGATGTCTGATTTACACCAGTTGTTAGTTAAATAAATGCAGACTTATGAAAAAAAATAATAGTAACAATGATATATAAATAAATTCCCATTTAGTACTTTTTTTTTTTAGTACCCAAATTTTAATAACAATCACCTAAATAATATAAATTAATACTGAATTATGAATATTTTCATATTCAGAAAAAACTTTTAGTTGGATACTTGATATTCATGACCTATGATTCCTTTTCTTTCTGTACGAGTATTTATTCAAGTAATAATTTAATAACAATCTCATATAAATTTTATATTTTGATATTTTTTTAAACCAGACAATACTTTCAATAAATATATTTATGTAGCCTGTTAAAATTCATTAAGAAGCAATTTTTAGCCTAAAATACCTATTGTAAAATTTAAAATTAAATATGTTATATATAATTATAAGTTTGATCGGTTTGTACTGTGTGACAAAATATGTAGTTTATAAAACCAATGCCAGGTGTAAAAGTTATGTGTGTTTGATGGGGAAAACAGCTCTAATAACAGGTGGAAATTCAGGTAGGTTTTTTTACATATTAGTGTTTTTTTGTGTGAAGCATTCAACAGCAGAGCATATTAAACCACTTTTTGTTTATACAGGGTGTTCCTTAATGACATGCTCACATTTAAGGAGGTGTTTCTTGAACCTTCTCTAAGAAAAAACTAAACATCTTAACTTTTCAGACATAGGGTGGTAAAATTTTCTATTTTTTTCAAAATTTTTATTCTTTCCATTAAATTTACGCATGAAATTGAGAACAACGACAGATTACCATTTCTAGATGTATTAGTTATTAGAAATACTAATAATTGCCTGGAATTTGATATCTATAGGAAAAATACCACCACACGCAGATATATTCCTAATGAATCACATCATAGTGTTGAACATAAAATGGCTAGTTTATATTTCTTAGTTCATAGATTACTTAGTTCCCAACTTTCCAACGAAAGATATGAAATAGAAAGAGATTATATTAGGAACGTAGCTGAGTGTAATGGATATTCTCCTTCACTAGTTGATAAATTAATTAGAAAACGTAGGTTAATGATTTCTGAAAATTCGACTTTTCAAGTGGAGAAAGATACGTCTAAATATTTTTCAATACCGTTTGATAGAGAGTTATCCCGTGGTCTAAAAGGAATTTTTAAGAATGTCAATTATAAACTTGTGTATAGTGCTAATAATAAATTACAACAATTATTAGGTAATCCAAAGGATAAAACACCTCCACTGGAAAGGTCGGGTATTTATGAAATTTCTTGTAAAGATTGTAATCAGAAATATGTTGGGCAAACTAGAAGATCAATATTAACTAGATTCAAGGAACATTTAGCTCAGATAAGATATGGTAGACCGGATAAATCTTGCGTTGCCGAACATATTGTTGATAAAGTACATTGTATAGATCTTAATAATTTAAAATTAATTAAACAAGTCTCAAATTACAGGCAATTAGATGCATATGAAAGCATCAGAATTAATAAATGTAAAGATAGTATGAATAAAAGTTCTTTGTTCCTACTACTCTAGTGGCGGAAATCTAACTGTTACGCTCAATGGGCTTTGACTCAGTTGGCTAGATTTTGCCACGCTCACTCGGTGACCACTGAGCGAGTATATAAACGCTCAACTTGTAGATTGTACTTTAGTTTATAATCATCTGCTGATGATGCTAACATGGTTAGCGAAACGCGCGTCCAGTGTAAAAGTAAAAGTGTTTTGGCGTATTGTGGTGATTTAGTGTTTTATTTTGCTGTGTAACACCAAAGGTTCCAACCCTCAACTGTAATAAAGATAAAAAATGTTTAAAAATGAATGGTGATTTTGAAAATAATTTTTATTTTAAGAGAAGTAAGTGGTGTACCTCTTTTTCTCCAAAAATATTCAATGTAAAACCCGTATGGACGGTACTGGTTAAAATAAATTAATTCTTTGGTACACCAAAAATACCTTTTTGGTGTACTTTAGGTGAACAAAAAATAATATACATGTACTGATTTCTTTCGAAAATCGACTATGGAACTATGAACCCTTCCTGGACACAAACGGTACATTATGGGACAGGAAATTGTAGAGAGAAACAAGCCTTATAACATAGGATACAACATTTTAATGAACAGTGCTTTCCATAAAATCAATAAAATGGAAAATATACGAAATAATATACATGTACTGATTTCTTTCGAAAATCGACTATGGAACTATGAACCCTTCCTGGACACAAACGGTACATTATGGGACAGGAAATTGTAGAGAGAAACAAGCCCTATAACATAGGATACAACATTTTAATGAACAGTGCTTTCCATAAAATCAATAAAATGAAAAATATAGAAATAATATACATGTACTGATTTCTTTCGAAAATCGACTATGGAACTATGAACCCTTCCTGGACACAAACGGTACATTATGTGACAGGAAATTGTAGAGAGAAACAAGCCCTATAACATAGGATACAACATTTTAATGAACAGTGCTTTCCATAAAATCAATAAAATGAAAAATATACGAAATAATATACATGTACTGATTTCTTTCGAAAATCGACAACTATGAAACTATGAACCCTTCCCGGACACAAACGGTACATTCTGAGACAGGAAATTGTAGAGAGAAACAAGCCCTATAACATAGTATACAACATTTTAATGAACAGTGCTTTCCATAAAATCAAGAAAATGAAAAATATACGAAATAATATACATGTACTGATTTCTTTCGAAAATCGACAACTATGAAACTATGAACCCTTCCCGGACACAAACGGTACATTCTGAGACAGGAAATTGTAGAGAGAAACAAGCCCTATAACATAGTATACAACATTTTAATGAACAGTGCTTTCCATAAAATCAAGAAAATGAAAAATATACGAAATAATATACATGTACTGATTTCTTTCGAAAATCGACAACTGTGAAACTATGAACCCTTCCCGGACACAAACGGTACATTGTGAGAATTAGGAAATTGTGGAGAGAAACAAGCCCTATAACATAGGATACAAAATTTTAATGAACAGTGCTTTCCATAAAATCAATAAAATGAAAAATATACAAAATAATATACATGTACTGATTTCTTTCGAAAATCGACAACTGTGAAACTATGAACCCTTCCCGGACACAAACGGTACATTGTGAGACAGGAAATTGTAGAGAGAAACAAGCCCTATAACATAGGATACAACATTTTAATGAACAGTGCTTTCCATAAAATCAATAAAATGAAAAATATACGAAATAATATACCTGTACTGATTTCTTTCGAAAATCGACAACTATGAAACTATGAACCCTTCCCGGACACAAACGGTACATTGTGAGACAGGAAATTGTAGAGAGAAACAAGCCCTATAACATAGGATATAACATTTTAATGAATAGTGGTTTCCATAAAATCAAGAAAATGAAAAATATACGAAATAATATACATGTACTGATTTCTTTCGAAAATCGACAACTGTGAAACTATTAACCCTTCCCGGACACAAACGGTACATTGTGAGACAGGAAATTGTAGAGAGAAACAAGCCCTATAACATAGGATACAACATTTTAATGAACAGTGCTTTCCATAAAATCAATAAAATGAAAAATATACGAAATAATATACATGTACTGTACTTAAATAGGCTGGTTTTGTAAAATAATACCATCTAAAAACGATATTTTTCGTTTGGTAGAGCTTAAATGTTCAGAAAATTTAGTCTAGAAATAAAAAATATATATATTCTATTAAAATATATAGTATTTACACCCTGTATAATATATTTGAGAGCTTTAACTAATTACTAGTTACTCCTACTCTCGGGAAAATTAAAAACCTATAAATCTTCTGTACGTGAACTAATAAACTGAATAATAAATATTTTACATTAAATTAACAATTCCATTTTAGGTATTGGCTTGGAATTAGCTAAATCCCTGGCTTGCAGAGGATGTACCATAATTATAGCGGACAAAAACGACGCTTCATCAACCGTAAAAAGAATGATTAAGGAAACTCATAATCCGAATATATTTTGTGAAACTGTGGATTTTGCCTCATTCAAATCGGTCAGGAAGTTTGCGGAAGAGTTCAAAAGGAAATATGACAAACTACATATTTTAGTAAATAACGCTGGAGTGGGATATCTTCCCACGATTACAGAAGATGGACTAGAAGGCACAATGCAAGTGAATTATTTCAGCCATTTCCTGTTAACTCATCTTTTGTTAGGTAATTACTGCAGAATGTTATTTCTTTTCCTAAAATTTAAGATAAGTATCTATAATCTTTGAAAAAGTTTGGTTTGGTTAGATTAGGTTCATTATTTCATATACAGGGTGTGGTCCCAACTGTATTCCGGAAACTTTGGCAACATATTCTGCAGATAAAAAGAAGTAAAAAAGTTCGTATAAATGTTTGTCCTAAAATGCTTAGATTCGGAGATATAGGCTGTAGAAGTTTCATTTTTATTTCGACTTTTTCCAAATAATTTTTGAAGTAATGTCAATATTTAGATGAAAATCGGTGTCTGGGGGTCTTTTTTGACATGAGAAATTTGATTTTGAGGTCAATATGACTCCTACATGTAGTGGGCGCCACCTACATATTTTTAACTGTTCTGAAGAGTAATAGCTTTTTGTCCGTACCTGTATAATACCACTGAGTAAAAAAAAATATATTCACTACGTTTTTTACATAAAAAAGGTCTCTCGGTAAAAATCGTTAAGAGATATTTGGAATCCAAATTATCAATTCATCTCATCATTAACATGTGTGTCCACGGATTGACTCCCAAAGAGGGAAATGAGGAGATGAAATGCGTAAAGGTAAACAAGGATTTAAAAGTTATTCAAAAAGAAATTAAGTAAAAATATAAAATATTTCTGAACTAGAAGTTCAAAATACCTAATTGTTATTATTATTTTCTAGTTTTCAGTGCACATAAGATAAAACCGTTTAACTTAAAAGTTTTTTTACCGATTTTTTATTTTCTAGTTTTTAGTATTTAACGGAAATGCCTATGGAATATTCCTCATTTTATTTAATTCATTTAGTGCATCATTATTACATGGTTTTTTACCTGATAATTTATTACAATCTAATTCCTCAATATATAGCCCTTCCAGAGACTTGACTCGACTTAGAGCCACGTATGCTTGCCCTTCCTCAAACAATTTTGAGCTCAAATACACTACTGCATGGTCGACTGTGCTGCCCTGCATTTTATGGACGGTGGATGCCCATGACAAAATTAAGGGTAACATCCTTCTTTCAGCCGTACCATAATTGAATTTTGCTGGAAACTGTATGGTTTTCGGGTGTATAACGTGTATGCCCTCTCTGCCAAAGTCAATCCAAACTGATGGTACATCTGTTTCGTACATTTAACCATTTACCAATCCTTTTGTAATATCAATGTTGGACCGCAACATTTTCACAAATTCATCACCTATTTTTTTTTATCTGTCCTTCTAACGTCACACAATCTTGGACACAACTGTTCTGGACACGACTACTCATGCCCTCACCTAATACGCCATTTTGTAACGACGTCCATCTTGGATTTTAAATTTTGTCACAATCACAGTATTCTACTAGTGTAGCCCTTTCATTTGATACCCATATTGAGGGGGTTGTGGAAAAATATGAAATCCGCCATTTTGTACCGGCGGCCATCTTAGATTTACAACGTTATTGATATTACTATATTGTATTGTCATCGGAACTAAAGGTGTGTACCAAATTTCAGATCAATCTGACAACAGGAAGGTACTTAAATTTCAATTTCTAATTTTGACCCAAACAAATAAATAAATACCGTACGGGTCGAGCTAAATAAAACCGTTAAAAAAAATACAAAATTTTCAAATTTCAGTCAAATTAACTATCTACTCAACATGTTTATTTCGAGGGGTAAACCGCGAGACCAATGCGGTGTACAACCCCAAACCAATGCGGACCAATTGTGTGGACTAATGGTGCCGATTAAGTGACAATGTTAACAAATGGAGGAAATTGGCCAATTTTGCAGAGCCAATGGAACCAATTAAGGGGAAATTGACAAATTTTGCAAAGCCAATGGAGCCAATTAAGGGGAAATTAGGGACCAATTATGAACCAATTAAAGGCTAATGTAAAATGACTAACTAAAAAACTAACTAACTTCAAAACAGTTAAAACACATGTAGGTGGCGCCCCCTATAAATAGGAGTCACATTGGCATCAAAATCAAATTTGTCATGTCAAAAAACTCCCAGACACTAATTTTGATCCAAATAATGACGTTACTTCACAAATTATTTGGAAAAAAACGAAATTAAAATGAAACTTCTACACCCTGTATCTCTGAAACTAAGCATTTTAGAACATACATTTATAAGAAATTTATTACTTATTTTTATCTGCAGAATATGCTTCCGAAGTTTCCGGAATACAGTTCGGACCATCCTGTATGAAGTGTACCTGCCTTATCTTGCACTGGACTTTTATAGAGAAATGCAATATCTAGATTGATTCTTTTTTGCACAGGAATATTATACAATGAGATTTGTCATTGTACTTTTCTCTGATTGTACTAAAATACGTGATCTTTCCATAGACTTAAAATAAAATATATTTTATTTTATTTATATATAAATTTATTTTTTATTTAGACAATAAAATATATTTTAAGTCTATGGATCTTACTCTCGATATTTTTTTTCTCAAAAATATTTTCAAATTTCAGTTTCACCCTTAGGCAGCCCAATAAACCATCCCTCAACGTATCTATCACTGCCATCTATCCGAACACAGAAAACCTAAAACCTTACTACAGTTTTCTATTCCGTTTTTCAGAACTACTCATAAAATCAGGGCCAAGTCGAATAATCTATACCAGTTCCTTGGCAGCATATAAAACCAATTTATTAAAGAAACCTTTAGTTGGAAACGAAATTCAGCCCGATGTTCAGCAGTATATGCCCTACGCAAATTCAAAAACAGCTGGCGCTATTATGTCGAAAATTTTATCCAAAAAACTGAGAAATACTGGAGTAACAACAAATGTTTACCATCCTGGAATAATATATACTAATATTTTTAATGAAATATATAATCTTCCTTTCGGTTTGGACCTAATTTATGTAAATCTCCTGAAATTGTGGACCTTGTTATTCGGCAAGGTATAAATCATCATGTAATATACAGGATGTACCAGAAATAAGTGCAAGTATTTTAGTGGATGGTAGATCTCGATAAAAGAAACGTATTTTATCTTTAAGGTTTTCCAAATAAGTCCAAAATAACGGAGTTATTTTACTTTGAAATTTCCAAAAAAAAATGATTTTTTGCTCAAATTTTGAGACCCACTGGATCTTTTCTGGATTTTCTTTCTTTTAAATTTGCTACCTTACTACCTATGTTGCCATATTATCAAGAAATTATGCTTTTTAACCAAAAATTTAAAAAAAATCCGAATTTTCAATTTTTTTCTCTCGCGAAAAAAACCCTCATAGGCGTGTTTCTGGGGTCGAACTATACATACTACCCGTTAAAATACTTGCACTTATTTCTGGGACACCTTGTATAAACTATTATATTATTAATAAAAAATTTAAACCTTTTCATAGAATATTGAAGAAGGAATACAAACAATGTTACATTTGACTACATCTGATGAAGTGGAAAATATATCAGGGGAATATTTCGCAGAATGCAGACCAGTCTGGCAACCTAAACCAGTAAATAATACGATAATATGTGAAGATATTTGGACTTTAAGCGAAGAATATGTGAAGTTAACTCCTGATGAAAAAGTCGAAGGTGTATTAAAAAACCTCTCAGTAAAAAAGACTGAAAATGATTATCTTTGAAATATTTTCGAATAATCTTGTGTTGTTAATATACAGGGTGTTCTAAAAAACATGTGCCATCTCTCGTGGGGAGATTCCTCACGTAAAAATAAGATTCTACTTTGTTTCGTAGCTACAGCGTGCTAAAGTCTTAATAATTATAATTTTCTTCCAAGTACTTTTAATGACTCGAATTAAATTTTGAGTGTAAAAACTGCTATAAGTGCTACACATTTTAATGTATATGTTGGTATGAAAAATAAATCTTATTTTTATGTGAATCTCTCTACCTCGGCACATGTTTTTTTTTGAAACACCCTGTATGTATACTATTTTGATAAAGCACAAAGTATTTTTACTGAATATAATAAATTTGCTAGCCTTATAAAAAAAATGTATATATGCAGTGTATGTAGTAATTAGGTATTATTACAACAAATTTGATTAATAGCATTAGAAATTTTAAATGACATGTTTTCTATGATAAACAATAATATTTTTTCTCCTATATTGTTCCAATACAATTTACTAAACAAGTTGAATTTTTTTTATTACTTTAGACCTAATAGAATAGTTTTTCAATTTGTCCCATACCAGTTATTTTATTCAAATATCTATTACCTCTTGAAATTCATTAAGAAGCTGCTACTATTTGTTTAAAATATCATCTCTGTTGGTAAATTTAATATGTTTTATATAATTCTGAGTTTGATAGGCTTATATTGCGTGATAAAATATATAGTTCATACAACCAATGCCAGGTGTAAAAGTTACGTGTGTTTGATGGGCAAAACGGCGCTAATAACAGGTGGCTATTCAGGTAAGTTATTCTCTTTCGTGTTAGTGAATTATTGCGTAATCCAGTTAGCGTGGTGTTGATGTGCGTATTTAATACAGGATGGGCCGCTGAAAACTTACAATTAGCGATGGGAACTATCGAATGAATTAAACTATCGAATGGTTACTGAATGAATGATTTCAACTATCGAATGGTTTTATTCGAATAAAATCATTTATTCATTTGTATACTAAAGCCTATGTGACAACCTCGCCGTGCGACTAAATGGTTATCGTTGAGCCACGACTATCGAATGCTTTTGATAAATGAAATTTAGTATTCGTTTGAATTTTGTGTGCGCCAGTGCATTATTAGTTCTTCCAAATTTTTATAACTTCGCCGTATAAATACTGTGCTATTTTTGCGTTTATTAAAATATTTAAAATACTAAAATAGTAGTTTTTGTTTTAATTTTATTGACGATTGTGTGCGTGTGCTGGTGGTCAAAATTTTTCTGAAAATTTGTGTGATTTTCCGTAGCCCGATCTTTCAATTATTTAATTTTATATGGTATATGGTGGGAAATTTTGAGAAGTAGCAATTTTTAAGAGAGATGAGATGAACTTACAATTAATTTTAAAAATACATATCTGTATTTTAGATGTTTTAATAATATGAATTAGTTGAACTTAATAATCGTATTTAAGTAATGTGGTTAAGTAAATGGGGTTATCGAACTCAAACTATGAGATGAGAAAATTAAATTGAAAGTTTTACACGTGCCAATTTAAAAAAAAAAGTTAACAATGTTTGTATTTTGTTTATGCTAATTCTCTTACATGTAGTTTTTTGGGAAGAAATATTTCATTTATTTTTTAAATTAAATGCAAATGTAAATATTATTTTTAAATAGTAATATAAGGCACCTAATATAAATAATTTTGATTTCTAATTTTTTATTTATATTTTCCTTCCATTACACTGCATGCTTAGAAAATTAATAAATGTTTATATTTTATGATTTTAAAATTTGTTGTTAATATAACAAATTAGTTCTGTAATTATTATTATTTAATAAACCAACGTTGCCAAAAAATTTAGAGACTATATTATTTTTAAATAGGATCTAATATAAATAATTTTGACATCTAATTTGTTTTTTATATTTTGCTACTACTTAAAAAATGTTTATATTAAATGATTTTAAATTTTGTTGTTAATAGGTATAACAAATTATTACTGTTATTATTATTTATTAAACCAGTCTTTGCTTAAAAACTTTAAAAATCATTTTCCTACATCCAAAATAACAAGTATTATTGCAGTGTAACAAAAAAATATTAATAAAAAAAATGCAAAATATATAGACATAATATCCCTAACTAACTAAAGTCAAACAATAATATTCTTTGCTAATATCAACTAATACCAAAATATGGCAACAGCGCCCTTCATAATGTATTTTCTGTGTAAATAATAGCACCTCAATAAAAAAATAATGTGTCCTTATTTTTATCTGACTCCGCAAAAAATCAAAGATGCCGGCTTCTTTCATAGCATTGCCACCGACCGCTGTCGGGTTTCTCGGAAAGAAACCTACGTCGCGTCGCCGGGCGACAACTAAAATCCAGTTAATATTTTATTATAATCGATCCTGACGAATAAATGAATGAATTTTATAACGAATGAATTTTATAAATGAATGGTTTTTGCTGCCGAATTACTAGAATACAATATTTCAAAGCAGATGACGCATCTATTCGATAATTTTTATTCGAATAGTTTTCAACGAATGTTTTCTTACTAGCTATCGAATTATTCGAATGAATTGCAACTATCGAATGTTTCGATAGTATTCATTCGATAGTTCCCACTACTACTTACAATGGCTATAATTTTTAAACCAAAAAAGATATCAAAAAAATAAAAAATACCTTTTCTATAATATCGAGGGGGAATACATATGACGTATTTTTTGAACCACCCCGACCTACCCCTAAGGCGGCACCACTACTCACTGGAAAATCTTAAATGGCAATACCTCACTTGTGGCGCCTTTTTGGAAAGCCCATGAAAAATGCTACACATAGCCATCTGGAAAGTTTTGAGAGAAAAAGGAATACCCGAAAAAATAATCCGCATGATTAAAATGCTTTATCATGATGCTACAAGCTGTGTATTACATAAAGGTTAAGTGGGGGAGAAATTTTCTATTGCAGTAGGTGTAAAACAGGGCTGTATACTTTCGCCGCTACTCTTTAACATCGTTCTGGATGTAGCACTAAATAGAGCATTTAAAGAACCACTAGGGATACAATGGGGACTCTTAAGCAGGCTAGAAGACCTGGATTACGCAGACGATCTATGCATCTTTTCCCATTCACATTCGGATATGTCTCAAAAACTTCTTAGACTCCAAGAGGAAGCTAATAATGTCGGTCTTCAAATCAACGTGGCGAAAACCAAAGAAATGAGGTCAAATACTCCCAACAACCAAGATCTATACCTCTCCAACCGAGCCATCGAAAGAGTTGATGAATTTCAGTACCTGGGAAGTATGGTTCACAGCGATGGGGGCACAGAGAAAAATATAGAGGAAAGGATTTTGAAGGCACAAAGAGCTTTTGGCATGCTTACACCTGTGTGGAACTCCTCTATATATAGCAAAAAAACTAAAGTCCAGCTCTTCAATAGCAATGTCAAATCTATTTTGCTTTATGGATGCGAAACATGGAAGGTTACGCGTGGTCTCATGGATCGCCTACAGGTGTTTGTTAACAAGTGTCTTCGAAGAATATTGATAATTTTCTGGCCCAATCAAATTAACAACGAAGAACTGTGGAGAAGAACATCACAAAATCGAATAGATATCGCAATTAAGAAAAGAAAGTGGGGCTGGATTGGGCACATTTTGCCCAGACCCCACAGAGATATCGCTAGACAGGCACTTGAATGTAATCCACAGGGAAGACGTGCCAGGGGAAGATCAAGGAATACCTGGAGAAAAACAGTAACCTCTGAAGCCCAAGAGGTCGGGAAAACATGGGGAGAGATCAAATAGACAGCTCAGAATAGGATCAGATGGAAACATCTCTTAGAAGCCCTATGTCCCACGAAGGGATGACGGGAACATGCTAAACCGATGATCATAAAGTTTTTCACCCTGCGTGTACCCACATAATATACTATTATGTAAGTTGGCTTAGTCGAATTTATATTTTGAATAACACAAGCAACACCAATAGTAATGGTATAATATATTACGATTGATTAAAAACGATTAAACAACGGAAAAGACAAACACAGTAAAATACGAAATAAAATTTGAAAAAAAATACAACTAAAAGTTTATCTATATTCACACAACTGTAAGCATCTAATTTCAGGTTTGGGCTCGGAATTGGCCAAATCCCTAGCTTCCAGAGGATGTACTATTGTAATAGCTGACAAAAACGATTCTTCATCAACCGTTAAAAGGTTAATTAGAGAAACTCATAATCCGAACATATTTTATGAACATGTGAATTTCGCCTCATTCAAATCGGTCAGAAAGTTTGCCAAAGAGTTCAAAAAGAAATTCAGTAAACTGCACATTTTAGTAAATAACGCTGGACTGGCATATCTACCCATAATCACAGAAGATGGCTTAGAAGGCACAATGCAAGTGAACTATTTCAGCCATTTTCTATTGACTCATCTTTTGTTAGGTAAGATCAACTTCAATATTATTATAGTTTCACTAAAATTGGAACAATTGCTTACATCGACTAACCTTTAGTTACATGAAGATCACAAGGTATTATAGTGTACAGGGTGGGTCAAATTAGACGCTTTTAAAGGGAAACACCCTTTTCTATAGGAGATACATGAAAATTAATATCGGTGTCTGGAGCTCAATTTTCATAAAAAACATGATGGTGAAAACCGCACATAAATATCTGTTACCGTTTCGGAGTTACTGGGTGTTTTTCAAAAATGTGCATTTTTAACAAATCGCTGTAACTTTTTTGCTATAGAAAATTTTGTATTTCTATGCAAACATTTCCAAAGCACCTTTTTACGTCGAATTTAATGGTTTAAGTATAATTTTTTTAAAATTAATAATTTAAGAGTTATCGACAGAAAAATCGATTATTTTATTTGGGACACCCTCTATATTTTTAATTAACTGAAAAGAATTTAAAATTACCTTTCCAAAAATATAGCACACTTGATATTTTGTTATAATCCCCTTCGATATACAGAATTTTTAAAAGTTCGCCACTTTTAACTAGTAGGCTTTGGACCCCTTATTGATGATATGCCCTTAGAATGGAACTCGAAAACATATCGTCCTATTTCTGCCAAAAGTCACTAACTATGTTTTGAAGCGGAGAATCGATTGCAAAAGTCATTAACTACGATTTCTGGCTATTTATGTTTTATTTTAATACCGAATAGTTACTAACTATAACATCTTTATGCAATGCAATTCATCTTTAGACGCATTTTTCTCGGAAGTAATAAAAAGTAAGTTAGTGACTTTTGGCAGCAATGGGACGATATTTTTCCAGCAAGACGACGCGACGCACTGCCTCTGAACGCTGAAGTTATCAGAAAATTTTTGCAGCCCATTTCAAAAATAATTTAATAGCTAACCAAGATCCAACCGTTGGCCGTCGAGGCCGCCTGACTTAGTGCCCATGGATCTAATCCTATGGATATATTTGCGGAAGAATAAAGGTTTCTTATTCTTCCGTATAATCTAGACAAGAATTAGAAATACTTAGCAGTTATGAGAGGGTATCTTTCAACCCCATTGAGTTAATGAATACCGCGAGAAATGTTCAAAAACTGTCCCGTCTGTCCACAACAGAAGACGGTCGATATGTCGAACACCTGTAGCAAAATTTCATGTCTTGGTTTGCTATTTATTTTTATTGTTATTAGATATAGTTTAAATGTGTTGATGTTGGTTAAATATATTTTAAATTGTTATAAAATTCTGCATCTCTCATAGCAAATATTATTTTCGTTTTAATTGATGCTCACAGCTAGAATTTTTTTGCATTACAGCCGGTGCCGTTCAAAGCCTACTTATTTAAAGCGGGCGAATTTTTATATATTCTATATGTCGAAGAGGAATCCAGCAAAATATCAAGTGTGTTATATTTTTGGAAAGGTAATTTTAAATTCTTTTCAATAAATTAAAAATATACAGGGTGTCCCATATAAAAAATCAAGTTTTCTGTTGATAATTCTTAAATTATTAATTTTAAAAATTATACTTAAACCATAAATTCTACGTAACAAGGTGCTTTGGAAATGTTTTCATAAAAATACAAAATTTTCCATAGCAAAAAGTTACAGCGATTTGTTAAAAATGCATATTTTTGAAAAACACCCCGTAACTCCGAAACGGTAACAGATATCGATATGCGGTTTTCACCATCATGTTTTTGACAAAAATTGAGCTCCAGACACCGATATTAGTTTTTGTCTATCTCCCATAGAAAAGGGTGTTTCCATTTAAAAGCGTCGAATTTGATCCACCCTGTACATTTTTAAAAAATCCCTGTAACTTTTTTTCTATGGAAAAATGTTGTATTTTTATGAAAACATTTCCAAAGCACCTTTTTACGTAGAATTTAATGGTTTAACAGGACACCCTGTATATTTTTAATCCATGGAAGAGAATTTAAAAATACCTTTCCAAAAATATAGCATACTTGATATTTTGCTCGATTAAGTAGGCTTTGAACGACGCCGGCTGTAATGCAAAAAAATTCTAGCTGTGAGCAGCAGTTAAAACGAAAATAATATTTGCAATGAGAGATGCAGAATTTTATAACAATTTAAACTAAATTTAACAACATCAACACATTTAAATTATATCTAATAACAATAAAAATTAATAGCAAACCAAGTCATGAGATTTTGCTACAGGTGTTTGACATGTCGACCCTCTTCTGTTATGGACAGACAGAACCGTTTTTGAACATTTCTCGCGGAATTCATTAACTCAGTAGGGGTGACAGATACCCTCGCATAACCACTAAGTACTTCTAATTCTTGTCTAGCTTATACGGGCAATTCTTCCGCAAAGATAAAAATCCATAGGCGCTAAGTCCGGCGGCCTCGACGGCCAACGGCTGGGATCTTGGTTAGCTAATCAATTATTCTGGAAATTGGCTGCAAAAGTTAGCTGATAACTTCAGCGTTCTGAGGCGGTGCTTCGTCGAAAAATATGTTTTCGCGTTCCATTCGGGGCGGATCATCAATAAAGGGTCCAAAGCCTACCCAAGCAGCATTTGGACGTTGGGACAACGTTGTGTCACGCGACCAAACGTCGGGGCGCAACGTCGGCATAACCTCGTGCCAACCCTAGTCTGCACTAGTTTGGAGAATAATTTTTGGGTCGAAACGACGTTGGATACCGACGTTGGCTAGAAGCCTAATTTAATACAAACTGCAACGTTGTTTAAAATCCTAATTCACAGAAATACAAAACTAATATGGCGTCTAGGTCGCGTTTTATCCTAAATTGGGATAATTATAGTAAAAATATTATTTTTATGATTTAGTTAGAGACATATGTCAGATGGCAGTGAAGGAAAACAAAACAAAAGTATTTAAGTGTGGAGGATGTTTGAAGATCATAATTATTGAAACACTTTAACCGACTCTGTAACTCGTTACCCAAGGCAAAAAAGTTAAACGCAAACAACTTTATTGATAAATCTATTGTTTCTACTTTGAAAAATACTAATGGGCCTTAAAATTAAAGAAGTTTTAAAAATTTTCTTGAATTTTTTTTTTAGTACAATGAGAATAATTTATTCGCAGTCGAAAAAATTGTTTCCGCGTGTTTTTTAGGGTCAAATATTTCAAGTTAATGTATTCAAAAAGCAAGAATTGCTATTTTAGGAACGAAACATTTTCTTATTTAACAACATGGCGGCTTTCACTTTGTTGTTTTGGAGATTAAGATGGAGTAGTTCGAGTAGTCGCATACTGGACTAATAAAATCGCAGTTCAGCCTTAACAGGTAGTATACTAGTCGCAAGATTGCCTAATTTAGTCATCCTAGAGTCTAGCTTGTGCCGCTCTCTATAATCTAAATAAACGAGGGAGTGGATAAACTATCGGTAATATATGTCGATGTATATTTAAATTTAGTTTTATATGTACCTTTCTTATGTCCCATTTTAATTAAGTTTTTTTATAAAAACAAAAACAGCACTGAACTGTCTGACTGAACAGAACAATGAAGTGAAAATTTAAGATTTAAGGTTATGGTTCAATACAGTTGCAAAAAGGTAGTGACTCGACGTCCTACCAACGTAAGAATAACGAAATCTAAACAACGTTGGAATTAGTAAAACAGACGACGTTTGCATAACGTTGAAATAGGTCCTGAAACTGACGTCGGAAAACTCTATATTGTCCAACGTTGTAACTACGTTGTCCGAATCACCTAAAGATCACTTAAGCAAAAAAGGGTACAAAACAACGTTTATTCGACGTCGCAGAAGCTTCTACTTTGCTGTAGTACTAGTCCAACGTCGGTACAACGTTATAAAAACGTTTAAATTTATTTTAATACCCAAGGTAGGGAGCTAACTATTTTTTGTAACTAATCCAACGTTGTGTTTAGTAAACATGTGGTCGCAAGTCGTGAAAATGCTACTTGGGTAGTAGTTAAAAGTGGCGAACTTTTAAAAATTCTGTATTTCAAAAGGGATTATAACAAAATATCAAGTGTGCTATATTTTTGCTAAATATACAGGGCGTCCCAAATAAAAAATCAATTTTTCTGTTGATAACTCTTAAATTATTAATTTAAAAATAATATCTCCTACAGAAAAGGGTATGTCGAATTTGTGACATCTTCATCTATACTATTTACTCTCATCTATGCATTAACACAACATGTAAAATCATCAAATCTACCAATTGATTTTTATTTATTTTTCCAGATTTACTTCTAAAATCGGCGCCAAGTCGAATAATATACACTAGTTCCTTGGCAGCTTATCGAACTAATTTCTTGGAGAAACCTCTAGTTGGAAATGAAATACAGACTGATGGTCAGAAGTATATGCCCTATTCGAATTCAAAGGCTGCCGGTGCTGTTATGTCGAAAGTTTTATCCAAAAAACTGAAAAATTCTAGAGTAACATCTAACGTTTACCATCCCGGCATTATTTACACTAATATTCTCAAAGAAGCATCCCTTCCTTTGGGTTTGGACTTACTTTATCTATATACCCTGAAATTGTGGACAATGTGTTTCGGAAAAGTATGAAATATCGGGTAATATTTGAGAAGTATTACAATACACTTTATAATATTTTTTATAATAGGATGTGGATGAAGGAATACAGACAGTGTTGCACTTAGCAACGTCTGATGAAGTCGAACAGATATCAGGACAGTTTTTCATAGAATGTCGACCAGTTTGGCAACCAAAACCAATCTATGATTCGAAAAAATGTGAAGAAGTCTGGACTGCAAGTGAAAAGTATGTCAAGTTAAAACCCGAAGAAAAAGTTGATGTTATATTAAAAAATTTTAGTAAAAACGACTAAAAATTCTCTTTTACAATAAATAAAATATTGTTTTATTAGAAGTAAAAATGAATTTTTTTTTGGCGAAGATGTACGTTTGGCATTACAGGGGCGGCACAAAAAGGCATTTTTACACCGAATAGAACATGTTATTTTTTGCTGTAGGTTGGACTAATAGTAATAATAACTAACGGTAATAATATTTAATCATAAATAAGGTAAAATATATAATTTATTAATTTAATCAATTGTAATTAATAAAGTTGCGTTTATCTCATCAAGGAGGCCGAATTCGACAAAATATCAAGAGGTAACTTTTAATTGGTATTAAACGGCCTACACAATTCTGATATGAAAAGAAGAAAGTCAGTAGCGCACATGTTTTTTTTAAATATTCCAGTGACAACCCATATGCACGTCCCTGATGAATTTATCGACACTTTTTAGCATTAAAATATGTAACACTTTTACCACAGAATATCTAGCTACGCAACAGAAAAATACTCGAAATGAAAGAGCTAAAATTGCACAAATAGAATACTAGATGGCGCGACAATATCATAATCAGAATATAATTAGAAATGTGTTCTTTTTTTATAAATTGGATTAGGATCGAAAGAAATCAACAGAAGTCCTTTGTTTTAAATTTGTCGACGTTTCGCAAAATTTATTTGCATCTTCAGGACACTACAAAGTTAAGAGAGCAGAAAATACAATCAAATAAAAGTTTTTTCAAAAATTTAACAAACAACCCAAAACACATATCATGGAATTCCACACATATACAATTGGTAAAACTACCCTAATGTTAACAATTAAATAAAATATATGTATATGTTACTCACATTTAAATCTGGACTTTCTTAGTCATATCCATTAATACACGGATGGTATAGAGGGGAGTGGTATATATCCCTTTTTTCCTTTTAAAACACATAACACACTTACATAAAAAAAAACATATAACACAATTATGTATAGAGAAATATCACGAAAATCTTTTCCTTTCACAGACAAGCAGTGCAGATGTACCTACGTTGACCGTATACAGAGAGCAACTAATTCTAGTTGATAAAATACTAATATAATTTTTACCTGGAGATAAAGAACAGTTGAAAAAAGAAACATATAAAAATATTATTTGGATTTAAACCATTATTTTGAAGTTATATTATTTAATTTTTGAAAGAATATTAAAATATGCTGTACTCAGGTTTTCTACGTCTGTTCTTTTATTAACGCAATTTTTGTTTTTTTGGATTTCTATCATCTCTGCAAATAATCTTTTCTTATAATTAGATTGTGTTTGTAAAATAGTGGTATTGTCAAAATCGAAGTTATGGCCTGTCTCTATTTTGTGTTCTACTAATGCGGTAGGATTAGATTTCAAAAGAAAGTTCCTTTGATCATTTTTATGTTCATTCAATCTTTGTTTTAAATATCTACCGGTCTGCCCAACATAGCTTTTAGGACATTGAGTACAAGGAATGTTATATATTATGCCGGATTTCAGTTCTTTTTTATTCTTTGATTTTGTTTTTGAAAAGAACCGTCTCTTTATGGTGTTATGACTCCTTGTTGTAATTTTTATTTTTTCCTGTTTTTTTGTAGTATGACCCTTAAATGTGTTTTTAATTTGTTCTGACAGACAGTCGATATAAGGTATTTTACAATAAACTTCTCTATCATTTTGGTTAGTAGATTTTACAACGGTTTTCTTGTTAAGAATTTTTTTAATCATAGATATTGGATAATTATTTTTAATCAACATGCTTTCGATATATTTTAAATTTTTATTATGAAAATTAATTGATGATAGTGATGTAGCTCTGATTTTCAGGTTATTAATAACATTAATTTTTTGTTTCAAAGAATGTTCGGAGGAATAATTGAGAAATCTCTCAGAGAATGTCGGCTTGTGATACCAATCTGTCTCTATTAATTGATTGTGTCTAATTAGTCTCACGTCAAGGAATGCTATGCTGTTGTTTATTTCTTTCTCCAATGTAAATTGTAGTTTAGGGTGATAACAATTAAATATGTCTAATATACTTTGTTCTTGATTAATAGGAATTGAAGTTATAATATCATCAACATAACGTTTAAAAAACGGCAATTGAAAAGGAAGTTTTTTAATACATTGATCCTGTAAATCCTGCATAACTAAATCAGAACAAATCGGTGATAAACAATTACCCATTCCCAGTCCATATATCTGTTGATAAAACTCATCTTGGTATTGAAAGTAGTTGTTATCAAAAATAAATGTTAACAGTTCAACAAATCTATGTAAGGGAATTTTTATTTCATTTTCTATAAGATGCCATTTCTTATTAACTATATTAATTACTATATCTGTAGGAATGTTAGTAAAAAGTGATATAACGTCCAAAGATATGAGTTGATAATCTTTAGGTAATTTAATGCTTTTTATATCATTAACAAATTCAAATGAATTTCGGACATAACTGTCGTTCTTGACAAACATACCATTTAAAAGAGATGCTAAAAAACCTGTCAGAGAGTACAGAGGTGATCCCACAAACGATACTATGGGTCTGAAAGGTCGATTATTTTTATGTATTTTTGGCTGAAAATAAATCTTCGGTGGATTAGCAGCACCAGTTTTTAATTTCTTACCTTGCTCGTTGTCAATAAAACCTTCTCTTACTAAAGTGTCAATAATTTTTTTGTTTTTATTTTGAACTGTTATCGTTGGATCTTTTTTTAATTTTTTATATGTCGTTTCATCTCTTAGAATATTTTGAGATTTTTCTAGATATTCAGTTCTATTAATGATAACGGTAGTATTACCCTTATCTGCCTTTAATACTAATATATTATCTTTATTCTTACTAAGAAAAATAGCCGTTTGTTTTATCATGTTTTGAAATTGCTTTCTTTGAAAACTTAAAGGCTTATTGGAACGAACAAAGTTTGTTGTAATATTTATACATTGATTTCGTATTTGAATGCTCGTCTCGTCTTCGAACATATCTAAAATATACTCTAAATCTATAATTAGGTCTTTTAAAGGTTCATTTCCTTTATCGTAAGGTAAATTAAAAATTTTCTCCTAAACTTAGTATATACTGTACCTCATTTGGTACATCTACATCACTGTGATTTACAATCCATTTATTATTTACTTCGACCCTTTGTATAGGATTTTGTAATTTAACAAGTTTATTGAACTTATTTATTTGTTTGGCTTTATATTTTTTAATTGATTACAATAAAACTTTTCTTGGCTATTCTTAAATCTATCAAGATCTGATGTATTTAAAGTGTTTTTCAGAACATTGACAGCTAATATTTTGTTAGATTCTAATTGCTTAATTTTCCAATGTATAAAAAAAAAAAAAAAATTCCCTTACATAGATTTGTTGAACTGTTAACATTTATTTTTGATAACAACTACTTTCAATACCAAGATGAGTTTTATCAACAGATATATGGACTGGGAATGGGTAATTGTTTATCACCGATTTGTTCTGATTTAGTTATGCAGGATTTACAGGATCAATGTATTAAAAAACTTCCTTTTCAATTGCCGTTTTTTAAACGTTATGTTGATGATATTATAACTTCAATTCCTATTAATCAAGAACAAAGTATATTAGACATATTTAATTGTTATCACCCTAAACTACAATTTACATTGGAGAAAGAAATAAACAACAGCATAGCATTCCTTGACGTGAGACTAATTAGACACAATCAATTAATAGAGACAGATTGGTATCACAAGCCGACATTCTCTGAGAGATTTCTCAATTATTCCTCCGAACATTCTTTGAAACAAAAAATTAATGTTATTAATAACCTGAAAATCAGAGCTACATCACTATCATCAATTAATTTTCATAATAAAAATTTAAAATATATCGAAAGCATGTTGATTAAAAATAATTATCCAATATCTATGATTAAAAAAATTCTTAACAAGAAAACCGTTGTAAAATCTACTAACCAAAATGATAGAGAAGTTTATTGTAAAATACCTTATATCGACTGTCTGTCAGAACAAATTAAAAACACATTTAAGGGTCATACTACAAAAAAACAGGAAAAAATAAAAATTACAACAAGGAGTCATAACACCATAAAGAGACGGTTCTTTTCAAAAACAAAATCAAAGAATAAAAAAGAACTGAAACCGGCATAATATATAACATTCCTTGTACTCAATGTCCTAAAAGCTATGTTGGGCAGACCGGTAGATATTTAAAACAAAGATTGAATGAACATAAAAATGATCAAAGGAACTTTCTTTTGAAATCTAATCCTACCGCATTAGTAGAACACAAAATAGAGACAGGCCATAACTTCGATTTTGACAATACCACTATTTTACAAACACAATCTAATTATAAGAAAAGATTATTTGCAGAGATGATAGAAATCCAAAAAAACAAAAATTGCGTTAATAAAAGAACAGACGTAGAAAACCTGAGTACAGCAT